CCTTGCCAGCCCGCTCAGAGATGTGTATAAGAGACAGGTAAAGATTTCAAGCTGTAAAATGCTTTTTTGAACATCTCGATACGATCATTTTTGACGAAGTTACATTCTCTTGAATTTTGCCTATTTTTGGAGGGTAAAGTAAGTGATACTTTAATTTTGTTGAGAAGTGTATATATATTATATATCTAACACCGGAGTAAGTGTATTCCGACCAGAAAATGAATTTTGTAGATGTGAACAACTAATTAAGAGAAATGTATTTGCTACTTAACTCCGAACAACATAAAGATCTCGTAAACAAATTCTCAAGTGAGCATTGCATTTCGTAGCGTTTCATACCACTAGAAGTCCCCATTTTAAGGGATTATGAGAGTCTTCGGTAAAGCTCTTCAAGTATCACTTTAAGCGAGTGATAAAAGACTTCCTATTTACATTCGAAGAGTTGATAAAAGACTTGATAAAAGTTGATAAAAGTTGATGATAAAAGACTTCCTATTTACATCGTCAAAGTCGAAAGTATTCTGAATTCTATACCGATTACAGCTCTCTTGTTAGATCCGAATGATTTACTGGCATTAACACCTATACATTATCTCATTGGTAAACGGCCCTTCCGGAGGGCAACCTATTCTCTGTTCCAGCTAATCGTCTCCCTGTCTTGAAGCACATTATCAAGGTACGACCAGACTTTTGGGCTCGCTCGAACTTTGAATATCTCAACGATAATAGAATATCTCAGCTTCAAATGCAGAGCAAATGAATTGAAAATAAACCGAAGCTCGAGGTTGGGACAGTTGTGTTTATAAAAAGCAAGGGATTACCATGTACGCAACGATGCTGGGCAAAATACTGCCGTATACCCGGGCGAAGATGGAGTCGCCAGAATTGCCACCATCAAAACGGCCACTGGGGAAATAAAAACAGCAACAAAGCTTCTTTGTCCACTGCCAATAAAACAGTGATCAAGTGTACTTGGAAGGCTGTATGTAACATGTGTAACAAATAAAATACATGCGTAATATGTGTAATGTGCATAATGATTCAATATAATGTAATATAGGATGTCCCATTTTAAATGGCGCATTAAGATTTCTCTAAAACTATGACAGATACAAAAAAATGTTTCAAACAACAGTTGTTTTATTTCAAGAGGGACATAAAATGGTACACTGTATATGTAATATGCGTAATAATCTACATGAACTAGTCATAATCTGTATAAAGACATTGATCGCTATCCTCTTAGCGGAGGGAGTATGTTACGCAAGTATGTGGGAGCTCCCAAACATTGTGCACGACGAAAAAAAGGCGAGATTGGACGAATCACTACATCTGCACATGCGGCATATACATATGCATGCGTTTTTGGAAGTTTGATTCAAAACAAAGGCGGAAGGCGGCATACGGCAAAAAGTTTTCAGTGCTTATGATGTCGAATCCGCGCGCTCCATAAAAAAGATCGTTACCGCCACCTCACGACGGTTACGTTTTCGAAAAACGCCAATGGGATCAACGAAGGATGGAGATCTACGGACGTCAGGACGCTCAATTCGATTGAGACTGAGGTCACCGAGACGAGACACACTTCGAATGTGAAGTTAACAACTCGAATTGGATCTCCGAAGTGCAACGTGAGTGTGAAAATTCTGACTTGGTACAGGACTTAGACATCATCACAGGTCGTACGGACCCGAGTCTAAGAAAACGTAGAAACATTCCCAGGTGTAGTATCCGCGATGATCGCGACTCAGGGCGTACGTTTGCCCGTAGGCGTTATCGTGACAAAAGAATCTTGCAAATCGACGACGAATATATTAGGTCAGTGCAAAAGTTCGTGTTCTGCAATTCGTATACATGGTACACTAAAGTAGCATGGCGACTCTGTTGTTGTTTATCTATGCATATTATATATCATTAGAAATATAACAGTAATGGGTGTCATTTGAGAATCAGAAGTGTTTGGTTTGGTTGAATTTAAGTCGTGAAAAAAATCATTGAAGATGGACAAGGAGAAGTTGTATTTTCGACATGATGCTTTACGAGTTTCGGAAAGGAATAATCGTTGGCGCTGCGATAAAAAACATTCAGAAAGTTTATTTGTGCATCAGCCCTTCGAACGGTAAACAAGTGGTTTGCTAAATTTTATCGTGATGATTTTAACCTCTAAGACGAATCGTTCTTGGCTCTTTTCTATATAGATGATGACGTTCTGCGCGCATTAATAGCAAACAATGCACGCATTTCGACAGAAGAGATTGCTGAGATCCTGAACATTGATCAATCAACCGTGTTTTAGCGTTTAAAGAAGATAGGACTTTATAAATCGGGCACGAACTTTTGCACTGACCTAATACATTTTGTTCTGTAATGTACTTGATTTGAATATGGTAATGTGAATTAATACAGTAATAAATTCTGTACGCGAAAAGACAGCAGAGATATTCACTGTTATTCTCCCTAATACAAAACAACACCTAAATTTTGGCCAATTCTAAGATAGAAATATAAAAGTTAACTTCGAAAACAAGGCAAACAACTGAAAATTTAATTCACCAATAAGTGATCGTGAAATCAAAATCTGTAACCAAGCTGATTCCTTGTTAACCCTCCAATAAATATTTAAGTTATCAAAAACCGACCAGACCGTGGCCTAGCGCGCGGCGTGGGATGGGGATAATTATTTAAACAATGCCACTATTTATGCAATCGCCTAGCACGCGACGTGGGGTGAGGGTAATTGATTGTTGTGAGCTTGACAATCAATTACCTTCACCACGCGCTAGGCAACCACGGTCCGCGGTGGGTGGTTATATCTCGCCGTGCATTTATATTCGGGGATTTTTATAAATTAATATCTCGATAACTATTGCAAAGATCGCAAAATGATAGAAAACTTTTCTGCTCAGTTTAGCCCACTTTAACTGCCCACGAGCGCTTTGAGTACCGCACATCTTGTATATCCATATACCCATACAGCACATTAACGTTGAATCGCAAGATTGCGAATGTTGCAGCAACATCGCGAAATGTAGATTCAACGTTGAAAAGATATTGCAGAAACGTCTAATGTCTGTTGAAATTGATGTTGTTAGAATATCTGTAAGACATTGCAATTCAACATTGTTCATTATTAATTTAATTCGCACAGAATAATAATATTTATTAGACATCTATTCGATTTTTATGAAACTAAAATAAAAGCCATTTGTAAAACGTTAAAAAAAAATAATTTAAGTATACGGTGTTTCCAAGGGATCAATTCCTTTTAAACTAATATTCAGATACAACGGTCCCCATCCAAGCCACGACCGCCACCAACGTTGCTTAACTTTTGTGAGCGGGAATTGCAGACACTTCGTGATGATCCATGAATACTTGATGTTAATATCATGGATATATATTCGTGATAGATCAGATTAATAAAATTATCAAAAAAACGAAAATATATCTTTTTATAAATGTAACATACAATAACATGATCGATAATCAATATGACAAACATCGATTTCCGCGTAAAGATTTAAATATCGTTCGTAAATGAGCCTCGTTAGGAAATCAAGTTGAAATCGTGATAGTTTCTATTTACGAGAATTTGTTCCTATTTAACAAAATTAACTAAATTACTTGTTTATACTTTGAACATAGAAAAATTTTAAAATATAATTCAAAAATACATAATTTATTAAAATTTTATTTGTTTAAAAATTTATTCTTTATTTAAAAATTAGATTTATTTAAATAAAAATTAGATATATATTATATTATTTTTTTAATGCAATGTTTTTTATTAATTGTTTCAAAAGATAATAATTTGTTTTATATAATTTCAACGTTGCAGCAATATTAAGAATTAATACAGAAAATTCAACATAGATTTAACGTTGCAGCAACATTAACAATCAATATAGAAAATTCAACATAGATTCAACGTTAAAAAAACATTCCCACTACAACATTCAACATTGCAACGTCTCAGCAACGTTCTGTGCTGTATGGGATAGTTTTTTTATGTAAATATAAACTATGGTTTGAAGAGAATTATGCCCATTAGAATAAAAATTTATTTCCTTATTTATGTTTCTTATTTATTTAAAGTGAATTGTACAACGGATAAGTATTTATTCATTATTCAATTCAAATAATGAATAAATTTTTACTTGTTATTTATTAGTAGCCAAAGGAAAAATTTTTATTCATTTAATGGAAACGCAAATTATACATTTATAAATTTTTTTTATTAATCGTCAATCATTGTCATTCATGTCCATTCCTGATTAAAATTTTACCTGGTTTCTCACAATCCCTTATATCACACAAATCCTGCGGTACCAATGGATCTGTTGTGTAACACCATGTACCAGCAATATTACGCGAAGGATCTCTACAATAATTATTGGCATCTCGTACACTACGTTCAGGATAAAGACTATCATTTAAATACGTTTGGTCAACAAAGTGAATAGGTTTGATAGCTATAAATTCTGATTGTGATGAATTTGATAAGAATGGTTTCATAAGTGATGATCTCGATAAAATATTTCGCTTCGTCATCAAGTGGTGTTTCCAACGAGATTTTGTGTGAATCGATCGTAAGGACTCCAGAGAAAGTTTTGTTTTCAATGATGTATTCGAGCTTTGTATCTGTTCGAAATCATAATTATTTAACCATTTTGCACAAGTTCGTCCTGAACGAGTAGTTGATAATGTGCCGATGTAATCATTAGCAGTTCCTGCCATTCGACATTCTGCAAAAAGTAAAAAAAATTTGTTTAAGCTTTAATCAAATTATACAGAATAGAAGAATGTATTATTAAATAAACATTACTAATTAAAAGAATATTAATTTTTACTGAAATAAAGGAACAGTATATTGTTACATCGTGAGTAGGGTGTAACGAGGAGACTCGTTGTGATAGGTTGTCGAAAAGATGTACTCAGTGAAGTTGTTACTTAACACGACTTTATTCTGTGACTTTACATTTGACTTAACTCTTATCACTCGCGTTAGATTTTCGATACGCGCACCGACAGCATGTCGTTTAATAACTTATTGTGAAGAACTCCACAGTGGTCTGCTGGACGGCGGGTTTTATCCCGTCTTAAGTGGGCCACTACTCAGCAGTTGCAATTATTGCTTAATTGCAACGGCCGTAGTTTTTGGAGGACGCATGCATTGAGGTTACCGAAGTCCTGCGTCGGCAGTCCTCAATTATTATGGGTTACCGTTGCAATATTAGATTGCAACAGCGACCTGCTTATTGTTAAGTGTTACACTGTAAGTAGCGCACGGAGGGACTTACAACATCCCTTCCCCTTTTTGGAAAGAAAACGAGGATGTCGAGTTTTCTTATACGTTATACATTATATATTATACATTATACATTTATAAAATTCTTATTTATTAATACCGCGCGCTGCTAGTGCGTTTTAGGATGGAGTTGGGCGTCCAGAGGTTCTCCCGCCTAAATTCGGTGTGTCTGTCGGCAACAGTCACCTTTTTACTTTTAACTCGTTTACGTTAACGTATTATGTATATTGCAAGTGCTATAGCGGTGATAATTATTGCGCCACTAGTTGTCATGGAATAAATAAATTGTTTCTGTTGATAAAATAATTTATCATTATTTTCCAAGTCTTTGTGGATTTTATTCACTTTCTTAATCAAATGATTTAATTCTTCCGAATTACCGATCTTTTCTAGTGTAATTTTCGCGATTTCATTTGTGATATCCGGATTATCCCTCATTAGAGTAATGTTGACACCTGGTACAAATGTTTCTATTACGGTAGTTTGTATTCTCAATTCCGATTCGATTATTTCATTCGAAGTAATTAGTTTGCAATTTTTTCGTAATGTTATCTTGCCAGTGTCAACAATACTTTCTTTTCTATCTGGGTAGCCGACATTGCATCGTGATTGCTTCCATTGACGCGGCGGAATATAACCACGAGTCTTTTGTCTTTATCCACATGACACTACTGGCAGTTTCAAAAATAGTTTTACAATTTTTATGTTTCTCGCCTTTTGTATACATTTGCACTTCGCACGCGGATTCGGCGGTAATTCGATTTATAACATGTTTTTGCTTGCACACATGTTCTATATTTACGACAGCGCAGTTTTGTAATTCGTGTTCGCTTAGGACTATATACGTATGTTAGGACTATAGACGTATGTGTTTCCGCGTTCAATCCACGAGTTCTCGACTTCTATTGCTGCAAAGCTTTCACCGTGGTCGTGTACCGGCAGCGGTATCGCGTGGATTACATCGTACACCGGCAACGTTATCAATGGAAATCTTAAAATGGTAAAAATGTTTGTCGTGTCGCAGTACGCCGTCATTGTTGCTATTTTTTCTATGGTTATTCAATCTTCCCCCTGTAGACTGAACGGGAAATATAATCCCTGAGGTAGATTCGTGGCCGCCTCCTTGAGACTTGTCAATATTTGACTTACGGAGGTGACTCTGGGGTGCAAAATCCCTTCTTTGAGGTACGCTAAGTAGTCCAGTGCATCCGCAGTATCGCGCAGTATGTTTTCGGCTAGCGCGCTAATCACCACAAAGTGCTCGACCATGTCGATTCGGTGGCCATATGCTACAGTTCTGCCCTGCAGTTTTTCATAAAGGTCGGCTAGGGCTCCTTCGTTCTAGTTTACTCCCTTTTCAAGCCAGTCTACGTGGTTCATTGTAGAATTGATCACCTTCAGCTGGTGCTTTATGGCGTGTCGAATTACGGCGTTTGAATCATGGAGCAGCGCGAGTTGCTGGTTGATAAGCTTTTCGTCCTTCGCATCCATGGTCCCGAATAACGCCTTTGCTATGGACCCTAGTCCGTCGACCAGTCTCCGTCGACCGTTATCCGTAGG